AAAATAAACAAATAACTTCATGGTTGGTTCGCTTGTACGATTTTTATTCACTTGTTGTGAAGAATCGCAAACGAACGAGCGAGTCTTCGAGCGAGTGAGCGAAGCGAACCAACCATGAAGTAATCTATATATATATTCACCAATGTTCACTTCGCCTTTGGCGAATAATTGTTAAATACCCGAAGAGAAAGATATTTTTAGAGTAAAGTGTCCAGCTCAAGGGCACAAGAAACGAAACGAGGATGGGTTCAAACTCTCATCTTCCTCCTCCTAAGCCCTCTCAATCAACACAGAAACTACCACAACTGCCAAGTGGCTGAGAGTTCGAACTCCGAACTAGTTTCAAATTTCCAGTTTTATTCAGTTCTTATATTACTCATACAACATACCCATAGTGCTTCAAAAAAATTCAGCCGTTTATTTCTCATTCTAGTGTCACAAGAGCTGCAAAGAAATCCAACATTACGATTCTAACACAGTGAGTGGCTTGTACAAGATCCGTCCATTGCAGAATGCTGAACCCATTGAGGTTTACTGCGAACTAGAAACTGAAGGAGGTGGCTTTACTTTCCTTCCTGGAAGCCTCACTCTAAGATCAGATGTTCAGCAGATCATCAATGCCCTTTTTAAGGACAGGAAAAACGTTTTGCTAATGCTGCGGAAACAAGTCGACTGGACCGAGTCTTACACTCTGATCCAGCCCCATCCCAATTTCGTCAACACTGATTTTGGAGTTTTGATCAATAGCTACTCTGGATACACTGCACCAGAGAACAAATTCATGAGAAATTACATCTTCCTTGGCATCATTCCAGCATCAGCAGCAAAAAGTAAAAGAAACCAAGGCTTCAGATCCAACGGAAACGTTATCCAGTTTTACAACTGCGATGCAAATCCAAACAGCCTTTTTGCGTTCATGCCAAATTTTTATCTTCAATCTCCAAGCAGCTATGCTTCGCATTCAAGTTACGAAGACAAAGGCCTCGCAGTGAACTGGTGCTCAAAGGGTATTTCCATCACATATCGTGATCGCATGCCTAACAAATTCTACTTCTTGACGGAGCTCCATTTTGGAGGCTGTGGCTGTTACACCTCCAGCAACCGCTGGAAGGATGGCTTTAACGCTGCCGCCATTGGTATTCGCTGAGAACTTACTAACTTTCCCTTCCAGCTTGATGATGAACGAGCTGAAAACTGATGGTTTAATTCAAAAGTAATTTTTCGGTGGTTGTTATAACCAGTGAATTTGCTTCTGCGCCTTAGCCAGATAAGGATCGTAGGGGCCATACACGCCAATCAAAAATACTTTGACCCCGGTAGGATTCCAACTAACGACCTCCGGATTAGATCACCATTGTTCCAACAGACTGAGCGACGAGACCAGATGGACGCAGGCCCGGCGAAGTAGCTTAGTAGTCCGCCCAGTCGAGGCGGTGGGGCAATGTGGATCTAATTCAGACGTCATGCCTTCGAATTCTAACAAGGTCATGGTTACCTTGGAGTGCATGCACACGGTAAGCACTTTTCAAGAGCTTTCCATTAGACTCAAAGTAAGCTTAACTATAAGCTAATCAAAAGCGAACCTCAACAAACAAATATGTAAAGATGTGAAAACTGGATTGATTGCATTGCTTCGTGGAAGGTTAGATTATTTTTTTAGAATTCTTTCGATTTACATATAACTTTTTATATTTCATATTCTCGGNCAGATAAGGATCGTAGGGGCCATACACGCCAATCAAAAATACTTTGACCCCGGTAGGATTCCAACTAACGACCTCCGGATTAGATCACCATTGTTCCAACAGACTGAGCGACGAGACCAGGTGGACGCAGGCCCGGCGAAGTAGCTTAGTAGTCCGCCCAGTCGGGGTGGTGGGCAATGTGGATCTAATCCAGACGTCATGCCCTCGAATTCTAACAAGGTCATGGTTACCTTGGAAAGCATGCAGACGATAAGCACTTTTAAAGAGCTTTCCATTAGACTCAAAGTAAGCTTGGCTATAAGCTAATCAAAAGCGAACCTCAACAGACAAATGTGTAAAGATGTGAAAACTGGATTGATTGCATTGCTTTGTGGAAGGTTAGATTATTTTTTTAGAATTCTTTCGATTTACATATAACTTTTTATATTTCATATTCTCGGGTGACTGTATTGCATTGTATTCTACATTTAGAACATTTTTGAGTTGCGTTTTGCCTCTGCTTCAATACGTGCGCAAACTTTTCTTTATTGAACAAAATAACCATAACTCCATGAAAGATCATATATTCGAACTCTGTATCTTCACCAACTACGGGTATATTACTGAAAAACTCAAAACGAGCCTAGCTCCCGGTTGGCTAGATAGCTCAATTGGTAGAGCACTGCACCGGTATCGCAGAGTTCGTGGGTTCGAATCCCGTAAAAGCCTGAATTTTTTTCAAGCTTTAATTCCACAGCTGCCTAAGCTGGGTATATAACTGCGATGATCAATCATGTCTTCATATCATTCTCCGCAGTTCAAATATATGCTCTTTCTTATATTCACTCGTAGACAAATTACTTTGTATACTTTTTCAGAAAACAACGACGGCGTAATTCAATAGATTTGAACTCATTAAAGCGGGAAATAACCAACATTCGACGGGGGAAATACGTTTATTGTAATTACGGTTTACAGTTTACCGGGACGTTTATTTGTAGTTACATAGTTCCATACAATTCTCTTTTCCGTGTCACGTTCAGCTGATTTATAAACTGACTGTGAAGCGATACGGAATTTTTAACCAATTTTGCATTTTTTTGACCGATATTTGCTTCTGGTGAAAAAAAAAGCATCAACAGCAACTTCCAAATTCATTGGTCAAATGAATTAAAATGGCATTTCGAAAATATCCTTAGCTAAAATGTAATAGGCAAAATAAGACTCTGAAGTACTCAGAGGGTTATAGTTAGATGACATAAAAAGCTACAATTTTCAACTAAAAACTTGAAGTGACAGTGCATCCTCCTCCACAGAATCGTGACGATCTTTCGGAATCAATCGAGATCCGCGTAATTGCAGAAACCTCGCAGTTTTTCAATTTAAAAAATCATTTTCCATCCGTAATGATTTTGACAAGGGCCTGGTTGGAAATAGTGTAAACCTCAGGTTAGAGAGATAAATATTTTGATATCTTGCAGACGTCTGAGAAGTTGTTCTGAGATTTCGACGCGGCACAGCAACCTTGTGCCCAGAGTCTTCGTGCCCATTAACCAGCTGTTGGGTACCAAGCCAACCTGAAAAGATCTGATTGGAAGTCGAAAAATGTCGAACTTCCAGTTGAACTGAGGATCTCTAGCTGACAGACACTTCGCTCAATCGGGTCACTCGTGTCAGTTCACTTCCAGTCATTGTCACTGTTTACAAAACCATCCGAAAATAAATCCTGAAACGAAACGTCGCATGTTTTGTCAGTTCCGGACGAAGACTCGAGGAAGGCGTCGTTCCTATTGTATTTGTCAAACTCTTATAAAGTTTGGTAATCTCTTAGCAAACTAAGTGTCTGCGTATGCTGCTTACATCATATTGTTATAGCTGCTCTCTCTCGTTCCCAATGACTGTAATTCTCTGGGAGTAGTCGTAAGGTGAGCCAGCATTAGCTTCCGGTCAACGCTGACCGGAAGCGCGCAAAATGAATTTTGACCCATTTTCCCAGCAGCCTAGAGGGGAAGGGGTGGAGAAGGACACTTGATCAGTCTTCGATCGGTATGTGTATGTGCTGCCAAATTTGGATCCCATTTTAGCCTTTTGAAAATCTTTTAGCCGATTTGAATGCAAGCATTATGAGAGCCATCCAAATAATCAAGTCAAACAACTAAGACGTTCGCGCAATATTTTCCTCTGCCTTCGTCTCGGAAGCGTCATAAAACCCATTCATCAGTCTCTTTTTCTAAATTTCTGTTTTTTCAGGCTGTGGAATAAATACATTTTACTTATTCCTCAGTTAGAAATTTTTAAGCCAATGAGTGCACCTTTTTTAGTTCGGCTATAAATTCTGCTACGGTATCGCTCGACCGACAACAAGATATACTAAGAAACTCTTCAACGAACCCAACTTATTTATTTAACAATACGTAATGCAATCTTAGAGGCTACAAAGGAGCGATTTCTGAGCAATATAATCTTCCACCAAACTAAGTTAAGCCTACTGCTAAACTTTCGTCACCACTGACACGAACTCGCAATGAATCTCGATGTCTCCAAAGAAATCTCCTCAATAGCTGTTACAATAACAATAGCACTCTAGCTTTTCCACTCGGTCTCTGTCGAGAACTACTAACGCTACTACTAGCTAGCTGATTCTTTATATACATTTAACTAATGTTCTAGAATGTTCTTGGAGCTTCTATTTATGTAGCATTACACCATAATTACATTATTCGGTAGAATGCTCTAAACTGTTCCATAGCGTGACAGTAGAAGGTTCTGGCACAAACATCGCGTGACTTGACATTCTAGAAGTTTCCAGAGACTTAATTATTCACGTCTGCTCTTCATAACAATTCTTGTAAGTGACTTATTTTAAATAAATATTTTAAATTGTTATGGTTTGGCATGAAAGCAAACAAGCCGTTGGGATTTGCGTCACAATTGTCAAAGTCGATGTTCTGCCCGTTGGATTCGAAGCCTTGAGTATTTTTATTTTTTGCAACTGATTTCCGGAGGATCCCGAGGAAGATGTATTCTTCCATAAATTCGTTCTGCGGGCTAGTGTAGCCGGACCAGCTGTTGATCAAAAGCCCGAAATTAACATGGGCGAATCTTTGCAGGGGCTGGATCAGAGCTAGGGTATAACGCTCGCTACGGTGGCCTTTCTTCTGCAAGTTGAGCAACACATTTTTTTCCGGTCCGTGAATAGTGCGTTGAGAATCATCTGGGCATCTGATCTTCGGGTCATGCTGCGGGTAAGGAAAGTATAGGGGTGTTCGCTCGCTCCAACGATCTAAGTCGCCAACTCACAGTACACAATAATGGGCTCAGCATTCATCACGGGTTGGATCTGTACAGCGTCGCAAATGATCCCCGACCGCAAATGATCCCCAAATTGGACCGCAAATGATCCCGCCGGAAAACGAGGAATGGCATGGAGTTTCCTTCCATGTTTTCATTTATTCATTTTATTTTCATCATCCTAACGATAAATGTAAAGATAAGATACTGACAACGTAAACTATAATTTAAATATAATTCTCATAATAAATAATTCCATCTCATTTTCTCTCGAGAATTCCTCTGAAAAATCTCGGAAAAAAGGTCGTAAACAACTTGTATACATTTGTGACTAACTCATGACCTTTTAGTCCTACGAATGATATTGTGTGAGCTGGAAAGTCCGCATCTTAACACTCCAAGCCGGTTTAGCTTTCGCATCTACAATTTACAGCCAGAAATTCCATACTGATGATGTAAACGTGTACTGAATCTGGCCAAGAGCGCTGATTAGTCAACTTGCAGAGTATGTTGAGCGATCTAACACTAACCTTCATTACCGTGGGAAACATAGGCGGAAAACAGAGAAAACGGATATCATTACGAACTAGAAGTAGAATAGTAGTCGTAAGCCGTTTTCGTGTAAGATTTCCAGACTAAACGCTTGCTTCATGAATCATGAACAACCTGATACATAGGTTACACCACTACAACCCGATATCTGCTAAAAATTTTGTCTCCACTCCACAACAAATAACAACACAGCATCGCTGAACCAAATAAGTTTATTTTGTGAGGGCCTGGCGAGAACCAACCCGAACACTGTATAACACAAACAATTTACAATTTACATGACAAATCCTTGAAAAGCAACCTAGGATAAAGCTATCTCCACACGTACAAGTCATTTGCTAAAGCCAGTAGGGCTGGTGGGCCACAACACTTTAATAAAAACACAAAATATATGGCCTACTTCTCAGAATAAGCCATCAGTCTTGGTAATAGTTAGGCTGGGGGACATCAGCGCCATCATTACATTTGACTATGTGATAAACAGGCCATCTTGGCCTACTTCCCCAAGTAAGCTCTCATTATAAGCTTTGTGCCAGTTAGACTGCCAGTTAGGCTGGGGAACATCAACTCGGACATTACGTTAAACTATAATATAGACAGGCTATCTTGGCCTACATCCCCTTGTAAGCTCTCAAGCTTCGTGCCAGTCAGGCTGCCAATTAGGCTGGGGATCATCAACTCCTACCTACAATATAAATAAAATACAATATAAACCTAAAGTGCAAAAATACAAGAGGAAAACGAACAAAAGTCTTAAGAAACTAGTAGAGCTGAGCAACCGCTAACAAAGCAAATGCGCTTTGAACGGAGGCCAGAAAAAACCTGCCAGAAAAAAACCCCTGTGGGGGAAAAATGTGCAGGAAATCTGGGTAGCAACCAAGGCTCAAGCTCCAAGCGATTAGAAGCCCATCCTACGAAGGCTTTACAAAAATGAAATTAGAACAGCCCATCCTACCAGACTGGATGCATGGTA